ATGCGATAGCTGCAAAGTTATAGCATCCTATAGTTATCTACTTATACCTTGGTCATTTCCACCCCTACTAACATCAGGATTTGATATAACCTGCAAAGGCACACTCTCTGGAGGGTTAGAAGGCATGCCTGAATGCTTAAAAAGACTAAAACTTGCTAATTTACAGTAAACAAGGTAGCAAGCTATACATACGGCTATCACACATAACAGCATAACTTTAGTTGCTAGATCTCCCAGTAAAGTACTAAGTATTGCAAATCCAACTAATCCTACTATTACTGTCATCTCTTTCCATTTTTTCGTCTTACTAAATTGACCATTGAGCTTGCTCATCGCATCTTTTGTAATGTCTGAGCCCATTTTGCTTTCTACTTGCGTGATGACATCATAATATTTTTTACTATGAACCGATGCCCCACTTAATGTTAATTGCTCTTTGTCAGCTCCATTGTGTAATAACTTTATACAAAAATTAGAAGTGTAATGATTCGGGTACGGATTCAAAGCTTTTATAAACTTTCCTTCACCATCTTCTATTTGTTCTATTTTTCTATGTAACGCTACTTGTATAGGCGTTAACTCACATTTGTTTTTACCATTTATTGCTTTTTTTAATAAAGACTCATTCCCTAATTTATCAATAGCGCTCAATATAATTTCCAAATATTTGGCTCTTTTTTTTCCAGGCATCGAAGCGATTACATGTAAGATGTTATTACCATTCTCATCTTGGGTAGAGGGATCATAGCCTTTTTGTACAAAATTTCTCAATTTCTCTTTATCCTTTTCAAGAACTGCCGTATGTAGAGCTAACCTTCCACCATCAATGATATACTCACCTTTCATTACTATATTCCTTTTTAATGTTTCTGATTCTATAGAACCCTCTGCTAAAATTTTTAACTGTTTTAATAACTTATGGTAAATTCCTATTTCTCTTTCATTTACATTGAATTCCAAATCATCAACATCTGCTCCACATTCTGTTAATAACATTACTGCACATATTAGCGTATTGCTATAGTGTACCTCTCCGCGAGAAGTGAAAGATTTAATCACAGATTTTCCCGCTTTTATCTTAGCAGACAATAATACTTGTAAAGGAGTTAAGCCTTTACCGTTCTTAGCTTTTACTGCTTTTCTGATATCTTCTTGATTTATGTTGGCAAGTACAAATTCCAGAGATTCCACTTTGCGCTCCCCAGGTAACAAAACTATGCTATGTAAAAGATTGTTACCACCATAATATTGATTAATAGGATAACCTTTCTTCAAGAAGGTGTTCAATACCTGTTTATCTTGACGTAATACTGCTATAAGCAAGGGATTATCATTGCTTATAACCCCTTCAATAAAAACTTTGAATTGATGCTTTTTTCCTTCCTCTAATTCTTTAGATTTATAGATATTCTCCTTGAGCTTGCAACATGCGATATTAAAGCAATCTAATTCTTTATTATTATTCTCACTTGAGTTTAGCACTTTTGTGTTATCATATAACTCTTTTAACGTGAGCAGACCTCTATAGTCAGCACCAAGTTCTATCAATTTTGTAATATACTGTAAAAAGTCATCTATACTACTGTCACTATTTCTACACTTTTCATTTACTATATAATACGTCAATGCTTTTACTAAAAAGACTGAACCTTGAGAATCTTCACTAGACTTCCTACGAAACTTAACTTCTTTTGTTGCCGAAGCTGAGTCTTGTTCCTCAAATATATCCGAACATTCTTGGTGATCGCTTGCATTTCTCCCCTCACCACAAATCAATTTCGGAATAGATCTATTGAGAAATGTTACAAAATTTTCCTTATCTACTTTTTTTACCAAAACTTCTAAAACTTCACACTTCTTTGTTTTACTGCTAGGAGCTTCCATAATTTTTATCAAGTAATCATCCAAAGAAACAGCTTCCATTTCTGCCTCTAGACGCTCTTTAAGCTGCAGTAACTTATCTTCACAACTATCTACATTTTCTTTATCGGTTCTGTTACCCATATATAACTCAACTGATCTTTGCTGATCTTTATTTAAAATATGTATTTCATCTTCATGATATTTTAACTTTCAATCAAATATACTACTCTGCACAAACACAGCAAAAACATTTACATAATTGACTGCTATTTTAGACATATTGTTTAAAAAAACCGTAAATTCTCTCTGTATTTAAGTGTGACAGGTGAAAAATTAGACCTATTTTAACATTAGCAAGGAACAAGAAATAAGCAGTCCTGCGGTGGAAAGAAAGCTACAGATGATTAGGTTTTACCTTGTTTTAAATTTCATCAGAAATAGGTTTTATAAGAGGTCTATTCATAGAGTATTAATATATTTAATATAGATTGCAGGTATGATGAATTTCTTATTTATTTCACTACTAGCATTACTTCCTTTTTTAGCATTTCCTGCAGATAAAAAAGAAGATTTTAACCACACATATTATCCCAAGTTGGATTTTGACTCTGCTTATGAATTACATACTATAAAACGCAATTACTATAGATATGGAGATAAATTAAAAATACTAGCAGACAAGAGAATAGAGCAAATTAATTCAAATGATACAAAAATTGACACCAAATAAATAAATTCATC